CGTGGCAATCGATAAAGTCCCCGCCACCGCCACCCTCCACTACACCGGCACCCTCTCGTCGGCCCCTGCCGCAGCTGCCACCCTCCCGCCGGCAAACTCCACCGCCGTCGCTGGAGCCTTCACGGACTCCCTCCGGAGCCTCGACTCCGACAAATACCCCGCACGGGTCCCGAAGTCGCCGGTCGACCGATCCCTCCTCTTCACCGTCGGGCTCGGGATCGACCCGTGCCCGTCGTGCAAGCCGGCAAATGGGATACGAGTCGTGGCTTCTGTCAACAACGTGACGTTCGTGATGCCGAAAGTCGCGCTCCTCGGGGCCCACTATTTCGGGGTCAAAGGGGTTTTCACGACGGACTTTCCGGGAAGTCCACCAGACCCGTTTAACTACACCGGAGCACCGCCCGCGAATATGGGTACGGTTAAAGGGACGAAGCTCTACCGGTTGCCATACAATGCCACGGTTCAAGTTGTTCTCCAGGACACCGGGATTATTGCACCGGAAAACCACCCGATTCATCTGCACGGGTTCAATTTCTTCGTCGTGGGGAGAGGAACGGGTAATTTCGACCCGAAAACCGACCCGAAGAAGTTTAATCTGGTCGACCCGGTGGAGAGGAACACGGTTGGGGTGCCGTCCGGTGGGTGGGCGGCCATAAGGTTCCGCGCAGATAATCCAGGTTCAATTTCTAGACCTAATTTTTTTAATCAATTTGATTATTTAAATGAGTGCTGTTAAAAAATGAGTCTCGCTCCACTCGGCTCGTTAAGGCTTGAGTTCGGCTCCAACTCGAAGCCTCAACGAGTCGAGCTCAAGCTCATTTAAAGCTCGTGTGATTAACGAATCGGGTTCGACTAAGCTCGATAAGGTTTGAAAAGATAATTTTTATATAGTTTCTATAATTCGACTAGTTAAGACTCGAACTCAGTTCATTAATAGTACTTAATGATAAATGAGCCGAGTTTTACAAGCCTAATTTAAAATAAGAAAAAAATAGATTTCCTCACCCTATTTTCTATATTTTTGTTTTGTAGGAGTATGGTTTATGCATTGTCATTTGGAGGTGCACACAACATGGGGGCTAAAAATGGCTTTCTTAGTTGACAATGGGAAGGGCCCTAATGAGTCAATTTTGCCACCTCCTAAAGACTTGCCCAAATGTTGACTTTTAAAGTTGACTTCTTCTGGCTTTTGACTTTTGAGTTTCAGCTGCAAAAATGGAGGGAGATTATCATGAGCAAACAAGAAAGGGATAAGGGTCCCACAATAATGTCTGTAGGATAAAAAATAGTGTTGAGTATGTGTGTGTATTGAGGTGAAAGTTTTATTTTGTTTCTCGAGTGAATAAGATTTTTTACTTGAGATCAAGTCAATAACTATATACATATATTGTATAGTATATGTTTTTTTTTTTTTTTTTGGTTGATTTGTGTAAACATTGTGCAAGATTTATGCAATATGTTCAACTACAATATTCTATGATATTGGAAGCCTCCTTCAATATATGGTCACATCAATTTTATTTATTTATTTAATTTTTTTTGGATTTTGATTCAGGTTTTGAATTCATATTTGGTAAGACGTCAAACCGACAAAACTAAAAATACATATTTGCCACCAAACAAACAAGCAAAAAAATGAAAACCCGTCACGCCCCAACCAATGAGGCCCGAAAATCAACTCCCCCGAACAACCACCTAAACGGTCGCAAGAACTCTTCCCTCTCTTTCCTCCATAACCGGATCGCGTCACTATACTGCTCGTCTCTGATCTTTCGGGTGGCCGCTCTCCAATCGTATTTCTCGACCTCAGCACGGGCAGCCTGCCCGACTGCCCATCTTAAGTCTCGGTCGTGCAGAAGGGGCCTCATCTTTCTCAGGCACTCGTCCAAGTCACCGGGGCAGAACAAGAAGCCTGTCTTCCCTTCGTGACTCTCGGGTATGATATCCGGGATGCCACCTGCCCGGGCCGCGACCACGGGCAGCCCGGATGACATGGCTTCCAAGACGACGAGCCCGAGAGTCTCCGACTCGGAGGGCGTGATGAAAACATCCCCGCTGGCATACGCTTGCGAAAGATCCACTCCTTGGAGCATGCCGGTGAATACAGCTGGCATGCCCGAGAATATCTTCTCGAGTTCGACCCTGTAAAAAGGGATTATTACGGATAAAATGACGACAAAGTACTATATATGTAACTACCTATATATATAACTACCTTAAAGCATTAATCGAGGTAAAATCGTGTTAAACATATGAACAAGTGTGTTTTTGATGACTCACCTGTAAGGCCCATCACCAATGAAAGCTATTCGAGCTTCTGGAAGCCTATCCATTACTCTGTTCCAAGAACGACATTAATTGCAATTAGTTCCCTAATTAGACTATGTTTGTTTGGTAAAATTGATAAGCTAGCTTATATGATAAAACTGTTTGGTAAAATTAACTGATAAGCTAGCTGAAATGAAAATTTCAACGAACTTATTTGAAAAGTTACCCAAAGAAACTTATGAAATAAACTCGAGTTTTTTAAAAAAGTTCGTCCTACCAAACGAAGTTTATCTGAATACAAGAAGCTTATTAGCTATAAGCGAGTTTATTGTCTACCAAACATAGCCAGAGCCTTAGTCACTCAACATTAAACATTTTCAGAAAAAAAAAAGTTTACCTCTTTAGGAAATCCAAACTCTTCTCGACTCCAAGGCGACCTACGTGAACTATCAATGGCTTTTCGGTTTCTCCGTTGCTTAATTTTAAAAAACATGACTTTGTCAATAAAACATTAAAATTTGATCAACGCAAGTTGAGATAAATTATAGAGTGATAACTTTAGTTCCACACCTCAATCGTGATCTCATTTCTCGGGAGAGAAACCGACGATGAAAGCTCTCGGAATCTACACCTTTGTTCCAGACACCTATCCTGTTTTCTGAAAAGTACTATATACTATTCGTGAGATCATTTAGACCGTCGAATAACCGAACAACGTGAGGATATTGATAATCCCTTAATTTTTTTAAGGAAAAAGAGGGCCAAAGGCAATTTAAAATCTCACCTGAAGTTACATTAGCTGCTTCAAGATCTTTTCCAATGGCAGCAGACGGGACGAGTGTAAGATCAGCAGCCCTATGCAGAAACTCTGGCGAAAGATTATTCAATTATATGATCATAATATTAAGAAATAAAAGAGGAGATAATAAACCGAGCATACTTATGATCAACCACATCGGTTTAACCAGCCAACTGAAAGTGTATCTGGGGATATATCTGTAATATATGAACTTCAAATCAGCAAGAAATCCTAAAACAAAGAAAAACACAAATAAATAAACATATCAGAGATCAATTGGAAATTAATCGAACATACACAGGAACATGGGTGTGATATGACATCACTATAGGCACAGATAGTAATTTTGCGATGGCAAGAGCTCCAAAAACCTGCATTACATGTAGAAATATAAAAAGATCGATATGTGTATAATTTTATGACAAGATTTTTACTCCCTGAAATAATAAGTAATTAAAAGGACCAGAGGTTAAAAAACAATTTACCATAATGCCGGGAGATGATGCATGTATAATATCGGGCTTGAATTGGGTCACGGCCGATATTATTCTTGGGCTGAGGGCAAGTGAAAGAGGTACCTTTTCGTAATACGGACAAGGGAAGCTGCGAAAGGCACAGTTTCATCAGACGAAGGAAATTCTCGCTATACATTAATATGATTATAATTCCAATCAAGTGAGCTCGCAAACTAACAAACCTTCTTGATCCAATCAAGTGAGCTCCGAAAAACTCCTGAGGTATTCCTTCATGTGTAGTTACAACTAGGACCTTATGTAATCCACACCCAAAACAGTAATCGAATCAAGAAATTGTGCCAAGGGTAGAGCTGTTAAAAGAAACGAGATAAGGCTCGAAAAAGTGGTTGCTTTTTATATAATTTTCTATAGTTCGGCTCGTTACAGCTTGAGTTAGTTATACTCGCTAGTGCTTGAGCTCGGCTCGTTAGTATCGACAAACGAACACTACTAGTCAAGGGGTAAAAATATGAAAGAACACAAGTTGAAATGTCTCCTTGAATGTATGCTCCTACTTTTAAGTCGAAAAGTATACTTTTTGAAAAACAATGCGGATGGTTACATCGAAAAGTGTGTCTTTAATTCATTTTACTCTAAATATGAATCGTTAAGAGCTCAGGCTATCCGAAAGTAAAACTAAACTATCGTATACATTCAAGTGAATATTCTGGTCGAGTAAAACTACCATAGCATACAAAAATAAAACTAGATCACTTAGCCTAAAACAGAAAACTGTAAGAGACATAAACTCATTAAATACGTGATACGATTATACGGTTTATACCTCATCCCCGATTTCACGTAAATACTTGATGAAATTCTGGAACCGGTTTTTATATCCAGAGACATAACTGCACAAAATTCCAAATATATATACTTAAGTATCTAAAAAAAATATATATATTATTTTACCATATTAAATAAATAAAATGTTGCAGGTAAAAATGATACTCCATGCAGTGAGGGATAATAATAAGTAATTTGAGTGTGTCCGAATGGCAAGACTTATCGACAGTTCTAACAAGACCAAGTTTATTATTAACAAGTCAAAACCGATCAACCAACTAATGTAAATCGATCTCTTTAATAAAATTATCTCAAGAAGGTGAAATATCAATCTTCAATCTCAATGGCATGACATATCAAATTAAAAATAGTAAAAAAAAAAATCCTTACTTCAACTACACAGTAACAAGAGGTCATTTCATCAAACACATAGAAGACATACACGCCATTCATGAAACACCAAATAAATGTCAAAAGTTTTTGAACATTAACAAAGAAAAAGGAAAAACTAACGCAAAGGGAGATGGCTCAACAAAGAGGGCTATTCGCATAGGCCCTGACTTCATCTCGGTATCAAGCAAAGGCTCCTTTTCTTCTCTACATTTTATAGTAAGAGTCATTTTTCTACTTTTTTCAGCTGCAAAAACGTGTCTTTCAGCAACAAAGGATCTTGATTTCAACTCTAAAACGTTTTTGGACCTCAAAGGTTTAGTCTTTACACAGACTGGACAAAAGGGTTGATGTAAGAAAGCGTACGAGTGAGAAGGATAACCGAGTAAACGAGATACTCTCTTGTAAAACCCGTAAAAGAATGTGGAATTGGGCTCACATGACAAGGAGCAAGGTGAATAAAAAGTAGAGGGAGAAAATGAAGGCGTGGAGAGAGAACAAGTTAACATGATTATGGGTCTATAAGCTGATGTTAATATATACTGCTTAGTTTAGCGCATTCTTGGTATATGGCAGCAGAAAGAGAGTCTTGGTGGGCTTTTGTTTTTCGTTATTGTGCTCAAAATCCGAAGGTATATTCTTTTCTGAAGCAGGAAAATAGGAATAATTGGGAAGTGAAGAGTGGTATATGCTCTGCCATGAACAACACATGGAGCAATCAGCAAGTAGCAAGACGATGGTATTTGGTGTATTAAGTTCTTTTGTGGGGTCATTCTGGTAATAATGAATAGTTCTGGGAAATTTTCTCAAATTTTTTATGATTTATAGCTGAGGAATATACTTTTGTATATTGGATGAATATATTCAATTCCAACATGTTTTTATGATTTTTAGCTGAGGAATATACAACATGATCTGACCAAAAGAAATGAAAAATATCCCAATTTGTATTCGAAGTTTCAACTTAATTGTTCTAGTCACTAATAAAATCTTCAAAACCATTCACTTTTGGTAGAAAAATATTTAAATTTGATGGCCGCCTCGGGTGATAATTTTTAGTTGTTTTAGTTTTAGTTTGTGTTAGGTGTGCCTGTGTTGGTTTTTAGGTTAGTTGCGAGTGTTTTTATTATAGCGCGGCTAGTCGGAATTATAGGCGGTCTTTTGACACGTCCTTCGCCTTTTTAGCGGTTGGATGTTCCATTCAGCTAGGGGTTGTGTATTCGCACAGTTGTGTATTTTGATTTATAACAATATCTATAGTTTTGGGAAAGCTTTTTTAGCGCTTGGATGTTCTATTCAACTAGGGTTGTGTATTCGTACAGTTGTGTATTTTGATTTATTACCATATCTATAATTTTGGGAAAAAAAAGTCTCAACTTCATCTTGTACCTTTTTATTTCATCATATAATATTTCAAAGTTCGTCAACATCATCGTTAAAGATTCAAAATATTTTTGAAAGAAATACACCTTAAAGTTTGACCAAGTTCTGCTAAAAATCTAGTCGTTGGATTTTCATGAAAATTATATGTATAGAAAACCTAAATTATTGAGGAATCCAACGGTGTAGTCCGATCATCAATCGAGTCTTGTGATCACCGCGGATTCATACGAAAGAGCAGCCGCGGCCTATGTGAAGGTGGGAGCTAATTTATATACGATACGCATGATTCGTTGACATCCTCCGGACTCGGGATGGGTCAAAGTGAACATCGACGGGGCCTTTAATCGCACCACCGGCCTGTGTAGTGCGGGTGGCTTGATTCGAAATGATCTCGGTGTTTGGGTTGAAGGGTTCGTTATGAATATTGGGATTGGCATCATTACCGGAGCTGAACTATGGGGATTATATCAGGGGCTTCAGCTGGCATGGGATCTGGCTACCGACAGATTGTAGCTGAGGTTGACAGCCAGTGTGTGCTGAAAATGATAGTGGGAGCACAAGCGCAATTTGGAGTCCAAAAATCACTAGTCAGAGCTACTCAGAGCTTGCTCCATCGTG